AAAAAAAAAAAAAAAAACTAACAGGAAGAGGTAAAATTCAAGACACAACACCCAGCTACAAGCCAGTTTCCATATTTTAACAGTTTGCCTCTCTAAAAGAAGGTACACAGCCCAGTCCTTACTCACTCCAGGCAAAGAAAGAGCTCATGTTCATACAGAAAATCTGTGGCAGAACAGGGAACTGAATCCAGGTCTTCCCAATCCTAAACTAGTGCCCTTCCTAGTGTCATTTGCCATCTTTTTAAAGAAGAAAAAACACAACCTGCAAAAGCTGTCCTTAAGCCTGGTACAATGCACAACCAAGTGCAGCCAAGGAACAATCTCTTGCATAGAAGAGTTAAAAAGAAAGGAAAGACAAATAGGCACTTTACTATATGTAAAACAGTTGCATACAAATCTTTTTTTAAAAAAAACCAAACAAACGTACCATTTTAGGCTTATTTTAAAATGTTTCTTCTGTTTTGAACTCCTTGCAGGAAGTGTACAAGGTACTAAAATTTACTCAGTCGGGGTCAAGGGCACTTGGCATATCCCACCGTGGCACGGCCCTTCGTTCAGAAAAATAAATTATGTTTTACCAGAATCCTCTCGTGTGACGGAACAAAATGGAAGGACGACAAAGCAACAACAAAAAACAAGGCTTAAGAGCTTGGTCCTCGACCGTTCTTCTGTTAGTTAACAGCGAAAAGGAAAGAAGTTGGCTATTTTCTCACATACAATTGAGGAAACCAGATAAAGGAAGTGTGGCCACTGCAGAATGGCACTTAAATTTTATACCAGGCCCCAGCCCCAGCCCCATACTACTTAAGAAAAACGGTAATCAATGCTGATAGGTATATTATTCATTTCTGATAACTTGACTGAATAGATGAAACAACTGTCAACTTGGTCATTGCCAAGGACTGAATCAGATTCCCCAAAATGAAGATTTAAGGTAGCACTTGAAGCTTATGAACTATCACTTAGCTGGCAGCTATAGCAAGGTTCTTTCACGGTATTAGAGAAAAGCAGGGCTAGAAAGGACCTCAAGAGGTCATCTAGTCTAAGGGTTGGCAACCTGTGGTCCACAGGCATTTCATCTGGCCCTCAGGGCAAGGAGGCTTCTGTGCCACTGCAGCAGCAGGGGGCATTGCCCACACACTAGGGAGACGCAGCAATAGCAGCACTGCAGCAGAGCAGAGGGAAGCGATGATTGACTCTGGCTCCAGTACAGGCTGAGAGTGGGCAGCTGCCCACTCTTGAAGGCCAGCTGCATTAAAAATCAGCCCCCATCCCTTCTCCCCACAACAAAACATTGTTGACTACTGATAAATCCAACCCTCTGCTCAAGGCAGGATCATCTTTGCCTAAACCAACCTACACAGATGTTTGGCTAGTCTGTTTGTAAAAGATGCGAGACGGCAACTCTAGGTAGCCTGTTTAATGCTTAACCACTCGCATAATTAGAAAGTTCTTCCTGATATCCGATCTAAATTTCCCTTGCTGTAATTTAAGAGTGCTGCTCCTTGTCCTATCCCCTGATGCCCCAGAGTATCACCATCCTCTTCATAACCAAGCTTCAGGTATTTGAAGACTGTTATCAAATCCCTCTTTCACTCTCCAAACTAAATTTCACTTCTTTCAGCTTTTTCTCCTGAATCACATTTCCCAGACCACTAATCATTTGTGTTCCTCTTCACTGAATTCTTTCCAATTTGTCCCCAGTTTTCTGGAATTGCAAGGCACAAGTCTGGACATAAAAGCTTTCCAAGTGAGACCCTACTAAGCGATGACAGGAGTGGAAGGATCATTTCTTCCCTTGACTTGCATGTGACATTTCTGTTAGTATAGTATGCTATTGCCTTTTTTCTGTACAAGAGCTTATTGACACATTCATCATTATAACCCTTGAGTCTTGTCCGCAGTACTTCTGCCTAGCCAGTCTCTCTCATTTGTTTCTGTGCATGCAATTGTTCTATCCCAAGTGTAGAACTTCACTTTTGTCTTTACTGAATTTCAACTGATTAATTTTAAGACATTTCTTCAGTTTATCAAGGTAATTCTTAATCCTAATCCTACCCTCCAGAGTGCCTACACCTACACCCATATCGGTGTCATCTGCTAAGTATGTACTTGTCTGTGTATCACAGGTGGCACAGAAAGGAACACAACGCAGTCTGAATGGTCAGTTATGGAATGGCTTCAGGCTCAGGCTAAACAGCAGAATGATATAATTTGAAACTGAGACCATCTTTTTGTTACGTGTTTGTACAGCAGAAACACAATGGGGTTCTAGTCCCTAAGCAGTGTTGCTAGGCACTACCACAATATAAATAATCATTTCCTGGTTCTAACTGCATTCATATCAGTTTCCCAAAAGATCAGTTGCCAGGCAGACATACTTTGAATGCACATCAACCAGGAAGAGACTGCGAGAGATATGAACTTGATTCATGCCACTTCCCACCCCCCCCAACTCACTACTGGGGTTGTTACAAGCTTCACGCAAAGCAGCAGACTTTCTGCTACTGTAGGCTCCCCTCCACTGCCTGCATTGCCTCTACTGAATCTGACTGATGATCTACACCCACACTTCGGTGTCCGGCACTTGCAATCCATGAGACAAATGTTCACACACTCTAACTTCCTACAAGAAACATGAATACAAAAGGGGATGGGTAAGTGATGAAGCTTCTACTTCCTTCCTTTCTGTAGGTTTCAGCCAGACCACTTTGAATTAGTTTTCAGAATATGAATACACTGCAAAAACGCATCTGCAACGTTTTCAAACACACCCATTTATCTTGCATATTTGCCACAGGAAATTAGATAACCCATAATCAGATACGTCAAAAAAATTGCTGGAACATTTTTAGACTCTTATTTTCAAGAAGGTATTTCTTTGGTTTGACTTCCTCTGCTGCTCTGGTAGTTGCATAAAAAGATACCAACACTGTAATATTACAGATTGACATTTAAAGTATATTAAACCCAACACCTGGGATGTCAGAAAAATGTGACTCATTAGTAAAATAAACTATAACGGCTCTTTTTGTGTTCTTAACTTCTTTTAGCCCTACTTGAGAGCTCCTTCACTCATAGATTACTAGTGCCAGAGACTGTTAGGACTTGTATCATAGCAGTAGGTACCGGGAGACGAAAATGAATAGAAAAAAGTAGGCTGGGGGGCTGTTTTAAACTATGATGTCAGTGCAGCTGCTCCCCTGTACACCAACTCAAAAGTATAAAAATCTTTATAAACTGTATCAGAGAAAGTAGCCACTTCATGGAATGTTTCATAGTTAGTAGGGTCTGAAGGGACCTGAGCAGATCATCAAGTCTGACCCCCTGCCATGGCAGGAAAGAGTACTGGGGACCAATGACCCCAGCAAGGTGATTGTCAAGCCTTGTCTTAAAGATCCCCAAGGTAGGAGCCAGCACCACTTCACTTGGAAGTTGGTTCCAGATCCTAGCTGCCCTGACTGTGAAGTAGTGCCTCCTGACGTCTAATCTGAATTTACCCTCTGCCAGCTTGTGACCATTATTTCTAGTCACTCCTGGCAGTGCTCAGGGGAACAGAGATTCCCCCAATGCCTGCTGGTCCACTCTGACTAGTTTGTAACAGGCCACAAGATCCCCCCTCAGCCTTCTCTTGTGGAGGCTGAACACGTTCAGGTCCCATAGCCTCTTCTCATAGGGCCTGCCCTACTGTCCCCTGATCATGCAAGTGGCCCTCCTCTGGACCCTCTCCATGTTGTCCACATCCCTCTTGAAGTGCAGTGCCCAGAACTGGATACAGTACTCCAACTGCAGCCTGACCAGTGCCGCATAGAGAGGGAGGATCACCTCCTTGGAACTGCTTGAGATGCATCTCATGACAAGGTACGGTTGGCCTTCCTGACCGCATCCCCACACTGCCTGCCCATATTCATCTTGGCATCAATAGCAAGTCCAAGATCCTTTTCTGCCTCTGCACTGATGAGAAGGGAGTTCCCCAGCCTGTAGGTATGCTGCTGGTTCTTCCTCCCCAGGTGCATCACCTTGCACTTGTCAGTGTTGAATCCCATCCTATTCTCATCCGCCCACCCCTGTAACCTGTCTAGGTCTGACTTGTAGCCTATTCCTTCCCTCTAGTGTGCCCACATCCCCCCACATCTTAGTGTCATCAGCAAATTTGAACAGGGTGCTTTTTACCCCTTGTCCAAGTCACTGATGAAGATGTTGAACAGTGCAGGCCTGAGGACCGAGCCCTGGGGAACCCCACTGCCCACATCCCTCCAGGTCGAAAATGACCCATCCACTACCTCTCTGGGTGCGGCCCTCCAGCCAGTTGGCGACCCGTTTGACTGTGTCAGTGTCGACACCACAGTCTCCCAGTTTCTTAATGAGAACAGGGTGAGAGACAGTGTCGAAGGCCTTCCAAAAGTCCTGGAAGACTATGTCCACTACTACCCTGCATCTAATGATAAACAGATATTGACAAACCCATAAGTACATTGCTGCTAGTGTGTAAGGCAAGTACACACGTACATGCACACAACTTTCTTTGTATTTATAAATTATGCAAATAATTATATACTTTTTAATACGTAATTATGAAATACATATGCATTTCATAGTTATGTATTATTATATAAATTATTATAAATGTATTTATAAATGCATTTAAACTTACTCACAGAAAGCTCTTCAGTAAATCAAGCCTCACACCTAATAGTGCTTAATAAAAAAAAAAGGAATCACCTTTGTAACATAAAGCAGAAGTAATTTATCAGAAGAATATTACAAGTAGCTTATACCAAATGCCACTATGCCACTCCTTAGTACTTTCAGTAGCGTATTATTAGCAATGAGTGGAGAAGCATACTTGCTACAATCCTGTGTGGCCTGGTGTTAGGCCAGATGACCCAACATGTCTTTTCCACTTCTAACTTCTTTGCTACTAAGATTAATCATGCTCATAACTAGAAAGGATCCCCGCCATGCAAATCAGCTTCTGTTACTTCAGAAATGCAGCAGAGAGTGAGAGGAAGCACGTTGCTCAACTTCACAGTACAGTAATTTCTCCCATAAAGTAATAATTCACAAAGGCAAATGTTAAGCCCAATTTAGATGACGAGAAGATCACAAAAACAAGAGGAAACATCTTGAACCAGAAACACCCCTTTTTAAATTTTTATGCATGTGTGCGCAGAACTAGTCACTTCCTGAAATTAGCTACATTGAGTGGACAACAGACCACCACAGATTTTTCTACAGTATTTCAGTGTCAGTTTAAAACATTTCTTGATCTAGTTTATTAGACAAAAAAAAAAATGTTGCACAATGGCTGGTCTCTGTCCAAACTAAATAAAGCATCATCCAGGCATGCCAGATTTAGGTGCCTTCTTAAAGCCCTTTAGCTCACATCTTCATAAAAAAGCCACAATATATTATGCAGATATACAACTTGTATTCTTTTTTACACTGAAAGATTAAATCTGTAGGTCAGACTGGAGATTTCTGATTAGCTGTTAAAGATGCTGTACTCATGCTAATACAACGATGCTTTACTTAGTAAAGTCATTTCAAAACAGTATTACAAGCAGTGATTCCTATAAGAATATTACAATATTTTGGCCAATAGTCCCTCTTCAAAGCTTGTCAGAACACTAGCCTAGGAAGTAAACTCAGAAATGCACTGTTTCCCACAGCGTAAAATATTTAAGATGTTTATTCATTAAATACAACTTCTAAAGAAGAAGCAAGGATTCAGAGAAGGATGAGGAGAATAATGAGGAACATGGAAAGGATGATTGAAAAGACTGGAATTCCTTGCATTAAAAATAAGAGAGGACATGAAAAAAATATTTTAAAAAAATGGATAGTATAAAAAAGATAGATCAGGGCCTTTAATTCTCACTTTCCAAAAGCAAAAAAATATTTAACTTAATTAAAAAAATCCAAGTTAAAGCCAGTAAAAGAAAATATTACTTGTGGAACAAGCAGTTAGAATATGAAACTCACTGCCACAGGAAACTGTTGAAGCCAGAGCTGCTCTTGTCCCGCTCTAGTCAGGCTCCACAGGCAGCTAGGCTCAGCCACGAACAGTAGCAGTGGGTGGGTTTCTCCTCCTTGCCCAGGTCCCTCCAGATGTTTCCTCTCAGCCCAGGCGCAGGGACAGAAAAGACTGTCTGCCACCACTGTTGCCCCAAGCTAAGCTCTACTCCTAGTCAGACCAGTAAGAGCGGGGCAGGAATGGCTCTGGAGCTCCCCCGACCTCTGCGGTAGCCAGAGACAGTGGCAGGTGGAAGAATGAGGGAATAAGAGGGGAGAAGGGACATGCTGGTGTGTGTGGAGGAGAGAAGAACCTTATCTGCTTCAGGACTTAAGAAAAGTCCCCAGCTGCTGCTTCCACACCATGGTCTGCCCACCTGGTAGGGAGAGGATGGAAGCAGAGGTGCAGCCACCTCTGCAGCACCAGTTAGTGCTCTTGCACCCTCTTAGGAAATCCTGGATCCACCCATAGTTTTCTCCCTAGATCAAATCCTTGTTCACGAGTTACTACAGTGTAAGGCTTGAATGCATGGCTTTCTGTGGTCACTATCTGCAAGGATAGCCATCAGTGTGATTCGTTACAACAATACCAGCAAAAAGCCAGTATGGATGGCTCCGGCTGCTTGGGAACCCACCTGCCACAAGAAGCACTGAACCTCCACTCCCTGGCCTCCAAACCCCACAAAAAACTAACAAGTTCTGTTCACATGTTTTGCATCAAGAGAGGGTGTTTTCCAAGATAAAAGTGCTATTTGTACACATGTAATAGGGCAAATTAATTCAGATAATACTCTAATGAGGGTCAAAGCTGATTTACACAAAGGTAAATCAGTGTCTTTGAAACTCTACTGTAGACATTTATTTTTCAGTGACTTTTTAAATATTTATATTTTCAAAGACCTAAGCAAACCGCAAAGTATCATCTACTCACCCATCCAAACTTCTCCAAACTGACCAGCTCCAAGTTTTTTCACTAACTTAATTGATTCCCGTGGAATCTCCCATGCATCTTTATCCCAAGGTTTCTGGGGTTTAGGGCAAATGCATGCTTTTTCCAGTTTTTTGCATAAGCCATCTGACTGCTCTGTTTTTCAAAGAAAAACAAAGTATAAAAATCCATTGCATTGTTAAACATACTTTGTTTAATGTAGGCACAACTGCAGATCAACACCAATCGGCTCAAAATAAAACAGGCATTATGAGGAATGCTTTGATCTAATAGAAACCAATCTTGCTGTATTCAGCACATCATATTTAGCCATTCAAACGAATTTAGGGTTTTGGAATTCAAAAACCAATTTATAAAACAGCTGTGTGATCTGCAGTTAGTGCCAGACAAAAAAAGGTCATGGCTGCTCATAATGTGTGCTTTTTTCACTCAGAGAGGGCAGTAACACCAAAGTAAATAAAATGCATGTTCTAGTGGCTGATGGCATGTCAGTGAAGACAGAATAGGAGACCTGTCTCAGGAAATACAAAAACAAAAAGAGATGGATCTTGTTGCTTATGATCAAAAAATCAGAAACACCGAGTATCTGCTGTTCCCCTCCTAGACTTCAGATTTCTGAAAGTTGAAGTTCACCTCTTCAGATGCCCAACTTTAGACAGCAAATTTTGAAACACAGGAAATCTATGGCCCAGGCATTGACAGAATTTAGATATTTCTGCACCCCTCCCCCATGTTCAGGCCACTAGACCATGCTTAAGATCACCTGAGAATTTATGTCCCTGAAGACATTTAACGTACATAATATGCTGGTTCAGTCAGTTAAGACAGGCAAAATTATTATTATTATTAATTATTGGGTGGAGGGGCAGGTAGCATTGAACCAAGTCATCTACGCATTTTGAAGACAAGTGATGATTGCACATAAATTGCTCCTTTCTCTCTTTAAAAGAATCATTGGATCCAACTCCATTTGCAATAAAATAATGGAAAAAGCTACCGTTGACTTAAAATACCTAATCTTGATCTTACTGAAATGTCTAAAACTTTAAGTGGACCTTAAAATGAGTATTATTTTAAGGTATGTGCTATGTACCCCCCTAGCATTGCTTTGAAATTCCTATATCACACTTTTTTAGTGTATAATTGTTCAGTGACAGGAGAAGAAATAATTATGACACATGCAGCATGATAATAAAAAGACTTGCATAATTTTATTAGGCGGTTAATTCTTCAGTGTAGTTTTGAAAAATTTCCACCCAATATTTTCTCTCTAGTGTCCAAAATACTATTCTGAACTATCAAGACTATGTTCAATGGGGGCAAGGGTGGGAGAACACCATTATGATAACCAAGAAGTTATAAACATTTTAAAGTAATTACTGCATATTGGAAAGTAATATTCCCTGTCAATGGAAATTTTGATTTTTCCTCAGAACATTCAATAGTAAAAGGCCTGACCACTGGCATAAAAAATTATAAGGTTGCTTTTGTTTCATATTATGAAGATACCAGTAGATGTTTAACAACATACCAGATGTAATACATTTTGTAAATATTGTCCACCTTTATTATAATATACCATTACACTTACAAACACAGTATTTTTTATTTATAACTTATCTGTTTTTTTCTCACTTTAACTGCACATTAGTGTAACTCTGGAGGAGTGACTTTTACATTTATTATTTATTTTATACTGGTAAATGAGAGATCAGAAGCAGACTTTCTCGTACCAGTAACAGACCTTAAGCCAGAGGTACAAAGATACAGCCAACAGACTGGATCTGGCCTCCAATGACCTATCATCTGGCCTGCAGTGATGCCTGGGGGTTTTGGACTGGACCCGCACACCAGATGCAGCAGGCCCTAGACTGTGCTGCATGCCACATACAGTGCTGAACATGGGGCCAATTTGGGGTATGTGCTGCACATGGTACTTGCATTGGCTTAGCCCCATGCACTGAATCCAGTATAAGGAGATGGTCTGCAGGCCTAATCCGGCCTGTGAACTACTGCAGCCCCACACATCTGCCATACAGGACCTGATAAATTTGATACCACTGCCTTAGACTCTGAATGAACTTGTGTTTCGCTCTTAACATGAATCTTTCAACAACATTCACAGTGCTTAGATTATTTATAAAATGTACTGGAAAGACTTGAAATAGAAAAATAAATTATTTTTCCACTAAAATAAAGCTTAATATCTGACAAGTAATCCACTAATTCATTTAACTTACTTTGGTAATGTTTGATCATTTCATTGATGGTAGGAAAAGTAATTCTTGGAGAGATGTAATATCCTCCGTTGTCTAGACTCCTAATTTTGTAGTGCTTAATAACATCACCATGCTGTGGATCATGGTCCCTGATGGAAAGGGAGTAGCTACCTGTGGAAAACAGTGCAAAAAAGCTGTTTGGTAGATTGTATGCCTGTAAAACACACATTTCTATAGTTCAATATTCAATAGATATAACAAATGCAGTAAGTAATATTTTGCCTACTTGTCATGTTCCACGTTTATCTCTCTCAAATATTTTACAATTGGCATGAGGAACATAACCAAATGAACCCCACTGCTGGCACTGAACTTATCCCAAGATACTACTCAAGAACCAATCGGGATTTTCTCTCTCTCTCTTTAGAGCAATATTTTAGCATAAGGATGGACCATTTATCTCTATTTGATTCTATAATTTCCTTCTAGTTTTAAGTGATAGAACTCAGTGAAGATGGAAGGACAATGGTACTGAGGGTGCACTTAATAAATATTCAGAGACCACCAAGCTGGGTTGAGTAGCAGATATTCTGGTAGACAGGATAAGGTACAAAATGACCTTTATTAAATTCAGGCCATTTCTCCAATTTACCATATGAAGTTCAATAAGGACAAACGTAAAGTATTTTGAACTTGGGACAGAACAATCACATCCACAAATACAAACAGGGGAATGAATGACTAGGCTGCAGTACAGCAGAAAGAAACATGAAGAGTAGCATGTCTTACAAGCTATGATTTAATGTGCTGCTGCTGCTGGGGGGAAAAATAATAAGAGAACCCTGAAGAATCCCAGGATACAAGAACAGTCATGGGAAACAATGCCTGTATTCTTCTCAGCAGCAGTAGGTCTTACCTAAAACAATGCCTAATTTTGGGCACCACACATCCAGAAAGATATGAACAAACTGGAAATAGTCCAGAGGAATGTGTGAAACAGTAATGGGCAATATGAACTCATGATCTGACCCAGCAAATGGCAATTCTTATATTCTTATAAGATCAACAAAAATGATCAGGTGTCTATAAAACACGACTTACAAGATAACATTGGGAGAACTAAGATTACCATGTTGACTTGAACATACCAACCTAAACAGAAGACAGCCACCCCTCCCATAAGTAGATTCTATTGATAAATTTGTTACAGTTGTCCTGGTATAGAATCTAAGTACTGGAGTTTTGCCTTGAATTTGTCCCCTTCCTGCTGCTATAGCAAGGAAAATAAATCTGAAGGGTAACCCCTTTACCCTCTGCCCCCTCAACTTCTTTCCCTTACAGCTCCTCCCCCACACCCTTACCTTACCATCAGACTCTATTCTCCCTGAACACATGAAAATGAGGAGCAAACTTGAAAACACTGACCTTGAAATTAACATACCTGTATTAATTTGCATTTAGTACCCATAAACTTAGTTATTCTAGAATTGATGCATTTTTTAAAACTGCTACAAGTTTAGCACAGTTGCTCCATAAACACACTTTTAAGCAGAACTTAAAAAAAAAAAAAAAAAAAAGCTTCCTATCAGCATGTTTGCCCAATACAGGCCATGTGCTGTTTTGCAGTGATACTCAGTGTTGGCTGCATTCATAGTTGGTTTCCGTTACTGAGCATATGCTGCTTTTGGTAGCATTTTAATGACAGACAATATATTAAATGAAGTTTCCTTGTATGCAAATTAAGAGGATAGCCCCCCCACCACCATCAGCATTGGGGGGTGGGGGTGGAATCTTGTCTTGTATTTGAGTAAATATGGTATTTAGTCTGAAGAGGAGGAGACTTGAGAGGATTTGAAAACAGTCCAAGTACCAAGAGGATGGTAACAGACTGTTCTCTGTGTAAAGGGGGGATAAGACCAGAAGTAACAGTCTTAAATTGCAACAAAGAAAGCATAAGTTGGATACCAGGATCACCATGAGGGTGGTTAAGCACTAAAACAGATTACCTATAGAGATTCAGAAACTCATTAGGTAATCATGATGTCCAAAATTAGACATTTTTAAGAGCAGATTAGGCAAATGCTTAGTTTGGGGTGGTTTAGACAATGATAATCCTGCCTTGAGTACAAAGATGGACAAGGTAACTTCCCTTGGTTTCTCACAGTCCTATTTTTTATTGAATCTCTTCACTTCCTTTGAAGAATTTACTGCAGTCCAACTGAATTCATGGTTACATACTAAAAAGCAACATAACAAAATGGTGCCAAATTCACATCTGTTGAAAGCAAAATTTTTGTTAGAGCAGATTCAGTGACTAATCAGCGAGTCCACTGATTAAATCGACTGCCTACCTTTTAATGTTTCACTTTCTCTGATAAGGAATGATCCAGGACTGTTTCCAGGAGCTAAGAGCTGTCTTTCTGCATCTTTCCTGGTTATATCTTTGAAGAACCATCTGAAAAGTATGTCAAGGGTTAGTTTTAACCCACCCCCTAAAGGCCCACAATAGGGTAGAAAAGTTTCAAATGTACTAGAATATAGAGGAACCTACTCTTCTGTTTCCAAAGTGTTTAACTTTGCTACATAGTTGCTTGGAATGAAACCTTCCTTTTTCGTTGAGAGGGATTTAGCTTTCCACCATTCCCCTAGTCTGAAAAGCAAAAACAACAGAATTCACAATATGCAAACCAAAAATAACCAAGTGCTATTTATCTGCTTTGTTGCTGAGGGCTTGACCAGGCTGGAAAGAGAGACATGACACTTCTCTTAGAAGTAGAGCCATCTGAGAAGCTTGACAGAAGCTTCAAGGGCAGAATGCAACAGCCCTCCCCCAAGATGGTTGTCAAGCAATACAGAGAACTGAGTGGAACATTTTCACTTTCACACTGAAAGGAAGTTTCTTCCTTTTGTATGGGTGTGGGCACAAAGTAAAAAAACACAACAAGAAAAGTCATTTAGTAACATCAAAAGATACATTACATCCAACATTGTCATACTTACTCCTCAAGAACTTTCATTTTTTCTCCTTTCTTGAACGACAAATCATCTTCATGAATGCCATCATAAGGATACAAGGCTACTACAATGGTCCCATGTTCCTCTGCTTCTATTAATGCAGAAAGTCAATGGATAATCTTAGCATTACATACGTTCTTAAAAAGCTGTTACAAATTGCTAATATTTTTATGGAAACATACCTGCTTTACAGAACCTCTGACCTGGTAAAAGTTGTGTGTCTGTATTTGCCTAAAACAAAATATTGCTCAATTAAGCAGTTTCAAGTCACTGTGATGTTCACTTTACACATAAGTACATTAATAAAATAACTTATAAACATAGGCTGGTTTGGCGTGATCTTGCACATATTTTCTAAGATGCCTACAAAACTTTAAATTATAAAGAAACTAGGGTTGGCAAACTGGTCAACTGACCAGTCAAATATTATCAATTTAACAGTCAATTGACTGCATATTTTTGACCAGTTAAAGGTTATAGTAATTTTACAAAAAAAGCCCCCTCTTTTTTTTTTGTAGTTTTCTTGACAGAAATGATTTTTTATCATTTTTGACACATTTCTTAATGGAAAATTTGGGCTTTTTCTGTGTATTACTTGGACCTATTAACATTTTTTTTTTACAATTTTGACTGATATTTGACCAGTCAATTGACCAAATTTTGACTGGTCAAATACCCAAACTTAAAAGAAACATGTAGCTATTTTTTTGGGCAACACTTAGATGCCTTAAAAATAAATAGTAATGCAAATCCCAACTAAACTTTGAATACAGCAGCATAGCACTCCCCCATCCCCTCCCGAAGTGAAAAGTAAGGTGGCAAGTTTATACCTTTGCAGCTCCTGTACTAACATTTGGCAAGGATACTTCAACATGGCAATAAAGCAATAATTGTCAATACAGAGGGGCAGCTTCATAAAGTTAAAGAGCAAAAATTTAATTACCTTTCTTAAATTCCTCAGCAAAAAATCATTATTTAGATTTATCCAAATACAAGGATTAAAAAACTACAGGATTTTTTAAGTGCCAGCACTAGAGTAAATAAGTAATTAAAGAGAATCATATTTGATTCAGATGATATGCTGGCTCAACAGCCTCAGCAGCTATAAATCAGCATAGCTCCACTGAAGCCATTGGTTACAGATGGGGTAGAAGTGTTCACCGCTGACTAAGGCCAATTATCCCATTTTTATCCTCACTGAAACTAACCTTCTGTTTTGCCAGTTTAAGGCAAAAAATATTTACAGCTTCATACATTCTCCCCTGTGAAAGATCCGATTCATACGGGTTTGCACGGGAGTTATCCATGCCACCTCTCCCTCTGCAATCCAAAGACCACCAGCAGAGCTAACATGCAACTATGCTCTGTTCCTCTTGACATGGAAGAGCAAACATTTTTTGTATTCCCTAGCCTCTTTCCCTAACATTTTCTTTTTGCTACTTTCAGTGGAGCACTGTTCCTTGGCACAGAGGGGACTTCCACTGCCCTGCTTCTTCTTACACACAACTGCTTTTTATTCTGTTGCACTTGGTCCTTACACGCGAACAGAAAGCAGCAAGAGGTGAAGGCTGAGGAAACTTGACCAAAAATGATCAAGTCATAATTAAATCATTAAATCATAAATTACACGTCAAATTAAGGATTACCTCAGCCTTTCTTAATCGAACACTCAGTATTTTAATCCCCAACTTGTTAAGCAGCTGCCCTGTAGCTGTATATAGTATACTCCTTACCAGCATAAAACTACACATTAAAAATAAAGGTGGTTCTTTTATAAAGAAAGCCTGATACTTTTAAAAATCTTTCCAAACTACAGTAAATTACTAAATATTGAATTAAAAAAAATAAATGTCACTCAGCCTTCCTGTAAAGCATCAACAATGCAAGAACAGTACACAATACATTTAGGAGAATATTCCTCCAGAGAGAAAGACGACACAAGGATATATTTATTAAGGAATGAACTACCAGCAACTTTTTTTTAATACTTATCTTTTGAGGGTGAACTGTATAGAATAACAAAGCCAAACTATGAACTAAAATGATTAATCTTAGGTTCTGCATGCGTTTTTTTATTGAAATTTAAGTTATGCCTGTCATGCTTTGATCTCACTATTGGAATTCTCCCCTGAGACTATCTACTTACTGGCCTTTGCTGTTTATTGGACGTTGGATCCCTCACATAAATAGTTCGTTCAGTTTTACGTACTGGTTGGTTCTTCAAATCTAGCCCATCTCCAGGCAGGTTCTCTTTCCTTTTTGATTTTATACATCCCATATTTCCTGTTGGAATAAAAAAAGGTATTAAACAAAAACACTGCATCACATAACTGAGTAGCTTCCCATGCAATCATCTGGCTTATGTAGTTAAAATTTCCTTTCCAACCACAATACTTTATTGGCAAAACAACTGAATGTTAAAGTATCAGTTGTAGTGCTACATAATTTTACAAGTGAAGGAAATAGTCTCGTCTTAATTCACAAATAAGCAAATCATTTGAAAATAATTTTTTCAAAGGTCAAACTTTATTTTTAAATGGTCTTTTTAACTCCAAAATAAAAATATTCCAGATGGAGCAACATATCCGTGGATGAGAAGAAGATTCTGATATAAATGAACTGGACGAGAAGGGATCATTCCCACTGTAATCTATATAGGTGAATCATAGATTGAAGCCCCAATTTCCCCAATAGTAATGCATACAGAAGTGTTGCCAATATGTTCCAGTGAAGAGGTTCTGAAATGTTTTTAGATTACTCTACTAGTGTAAATGGTAAAACTATGGCTCTTTAGGCCATGACAGTATCCTCCAATTTGGTTTTGTATATTAACCCGAGGGTGGCCATTGGTCCAGTTTCATATCAGACCATCTTGTTTTTAAATCCTTTGTCCCCCATCCATTTCTGAATGAGGAACGGACAGGAAAAAGTCCAGTTTTTTAGTTCACTGGTGGAAATACATGTTAATCATTTGTCCTCGTGATTCTATTGGCTGTGCTTAAAATTGGGTGGTGCACAGCCAGGAGGAGAGGGGTTTTGAGTCAGCCAAGGAGGGAAGGAGAGAGGGAGGTGGTGGTCCTGCCCCTTGCTGCTGATTGGTTGAAGGACCCAGTGGCCCCCACCTTTACTGCTGATTGGACAAGGTGGCAGCTCCACCCCTCACCACTGATTTTCAGAGGGAGGCTGCCCCTCACCAAGAGGTTGTCCTGTATTCTGAGGATGCGTCAGTGGCCGCCCTAGTTATCCCTGCTGGGGAGCTCAGTGACTGGAGAAGTCCAAACTCCATGGCAGGCTGAAGAGAACAAAACTCAACCAGAAGCAAACGTTGGTAGTGCAGGTCAGATAGAGAGAGAGGACACCTAACTTATCTACTGCAATAGCATGAAAAAAAGATAAAAGAAAAGTGTTGTACCACTGCTTTACTTGTTCCCCAGTACACTCTCTCAAGATGACCATTGTATCAGTATAGGTGCACAAGTTTTATAAAGCTCGTCTGCCAAGTATCTCATAATACAACTATTATATTGGGATAAGAGTATCCATGCTAAGGTGTGTGCTGGTATAACTATATTGGTAAGAACCACAACAGTATAGTTACACCAGTTCAGTTTCCAAGCACAAGACGGACCATAGAGCCTTAAAGCCTCTGAATCCTATGGTTCCATCTTTATTCTACTCAGATGAAGATGAGCTGTGCTATTATACCTATATTAAAGATGAGCGGCTGCAATTTACTCCTTTTCATGAAAATCAGCTGGCACTACCTGGTATCAAAGTTTAGGTGTCACTGGAATAAAAATCCATTGGTCATTGTACCATTAAGCTCAATAACCAAATAGTTTGGAAACCAGCAAAATGCTCATGTGTTCTTAATTTTAATATTAAAACAAAAAAAGGCAAAAAGCAAACCAACCAAGAAAGCCCAGAGACCCACATGACAATTAAAGAAAGCAGTCTTCTGTTCTTGCATATCAGTGACTTCAACAGTTTTACCTATCTATGTGAAGCACAGAGAGTGCGTTATAATTGGTATTCTTAGACCAGGAAATAGCTAATGATCATTTTCACTTTGTGGAAGTCTCCCTGGGAATCATTTTGACCTCTAGTTCCATGTGGGATAGTGCTTAGTTTTATTTGAGACACTAAACAGACTCTTTAGGAATCCAGTATCTATAAAAACAGCCTCCAGTTTTACGAACACCATTAACTGTGGGCATACAACATACAGTACTTACATATCTGTATAAACTTATGAGCAAGCTGGGGGTTTCACATGTACATTGGACAATTAGCAGATAGAGGCCAACTACCTGCACTCACAAATCAGGTGGTTCAATCATCTAAATGCTATAATATGCACTTGCAATTTTCTGCCTACAAAGAACCTAAATTGAAACCTTAAAAACAATTTGGCAGTAAGTATAGCACTTAAACCTTTCAAACAGGTGAACAGTCCTGTTGATTTCAAAAGGTCTAATCGTATACCCAAAGATAAGCATGTTCTTACATGGGACAAGAATATGCCTCTCTCACTATTGAGAAAATCCTTGGAAAGAATGAGTCTCACGGCTTTATTCTATGCAACAACAAATAAAGATGTGACATGACTTGCCCAAGATCACAGAGCAGATCGGCAGAACTAAAACGAAAACATCTTTCACCTACAAATCTGGAGTACAGTTTTACAAAATACTGAATTTCTTCCGGGAGAGAACGCAGTCTTTACTACCATGGAGCTGAGAGTACCCCAAGCCCTTTGACAGATTAAGCCCATCAACTATCTTTAAAAAAACGTTAATAAATAAGTTCTCTAAAATCTTTCTAAAGAAATGGAGGGAAAAAACCCCCTCTGCAGTAGACAACAAACAAAATAATATTTAAAATTCAGATTTCTGTTGCTCTTATAGGATTTCTAAGAAACTTTATTAAAAGTGTGAAAATCACAAATTTCATATGAAGCAGCTAGAAAATACATGTCTCAAATGTTAAGACATTGGCCATAATTATATTTGATTATGAAATCATTCAATTAAATTTATGAAATATAAAGTATTGGGATTGTATATGCCTTTGGATGTTTCTCAGTAGTTTGTGAAACTGTGGTGTGGCATCCAAAGAGCTTGAAAACATTTAAGATACTAGAACACATGGGTGCTCATCTTCAACCCACTCAGCAAGTCTGCAGAGCTGCATTATCCCCACAGATCCAGAAGTTTACACTGGGGAATAATGGCAATTAACTCTACCACTGCTTCCCCACCACCAAATTTCCAAAGCCTACAGACAGATGACATGACCCCATGCATGGGTCTGGGTTAGGACCAGAGTGGCAGGTCCAGTCTGGCACACACAGGGCTTAAGCCATGCACTGGACCACATGCTTACTCTGCACTGGATCAGACCCATGAACTGATATCCTGCTTAGGATCTGATCCCTAGACCAACCCCAAACCATTTATGCCACCCGCAGCCCAGAAAGTTTTGTCACCACTGCTAAGGCAGATATTTTAAACAAGGGGCTAAAACTGACAGACTCTTTACACTGCAAGCTGAAACTTCTTTCACTTCAACAAAGAGATTCTATGAGGGGCATCAGAATAGGAATTCATAAACCTAATGCAAGCAACAGACATCATAAGATAAATGTTTAAGAATGTAGTAGAGTCGGAGTGTTGTTGTAACTGTGATGGTCCAGGAAGCATCCAGGAAGAGAGGCAAGGATTTTTTTGCAACATCTAGTTTACAGCCCTCTTCCATCCCTCCAAACAGACTGCTCGAATTTGCTCGGACCCTTTTCTATGACATTTGGCTGTTTCTACTTCTCTCTCAAACATGAGGAAGGGCACTTGATGACCAAAAGCTTGTCCAAGGGCTCTCCCACCTATATGCTTGGTCCAATAAAGATACCACAAAAAATCCTTGTCTCAGAACATATGGTAAGTAATGAGTTTTAAAGTAGAAATGTTATACAACTGTTCTTAGCTGCTTAAAAAAAAAAAAAAAAAAAAAAAAAAAAAAAATCTAAAAAAAAAAAAAAAAATCTAAAAAAAAAAAAAAAAATCTAAAAAAAAAAAAAAAAATCTAAAAAAAAAAAAAAAAATCTAAAAAAAAAAAAAAAAATCTAAAAAAAAAAAAAAAAATCAATCCTAGAAAAAAAATAAAAATGAACAACAAAATGCAGCATATTTTAGCCTATAGTATGTTTATGTATAAAGTAGAAGCTGAGTGCATTTACAGCAAGTACAATATTTTATTCATGCATAATGTTGTTTTTGTTTTTTTAAGAATAACACTGATGCTATTTATCTTAATGAATATCAGGTATGTTTAATCTAAGTTAAAGAAGTGCTTTTTTGCAGACATGAGAATTTGATAAGCTATCAGTTGTGCAGAAGGACTGCATCACCACAGATGGAATATTAGTTATTGAACAAATGATTTTTATCAAAGAACAAAAAAAGAATTCAGTCCTTCTTTCAGCCTTTCTTTATGCAAACTAAATGGGATACCAATTTACTTAAGCTCTCCTAACCACTTTGCTAGACACAAAAGAATAGTCATTTAATTACAAGGAATTGTATAACAGAAACTAACTTTTAGAAGCAGTTATCTGACAAAGTAACATGACATAAAAATCATCACAGAATAAAGTATCCAATTTCAATAAAAGGCTCAAAAAGGTAAAATTTGGTTTGGAGACAGCAATGTTCTTGAAGGATATCTTCAATATGTTGATACAAATCAGAGTTTGTCTTTTTATTTAAAGGGAAAAAAAGCAAACTACATACAGAAAAAGTTCATTGTGCCAATTTTCCTAACAGATTGCTGAATAACCACCAATATTTTCTTTGATGTCTAAAAATGTAATTCTTGAATTCTCCCTCCAAATCCTCCGTTATATGCCATCATTTCATTTAATCTCAGTAGTACTTTGCCTCTTTTCTTTGCCTAGCAATTGCTTTAAAATCAAATATATTTCATGTACCCAAAACTGCCTGCAATGTACTTGTTTAGATTTTAAAAGGTTCCACGCTTCTGACAAAAAACTTGTTTTATCTTTCTTTTGCCAGCAGTATAATTTATCTGTAACCTCAAGTACTTTTCTTTAAAAACACTTCAGACAGTGGAAGATCACGTGAGCATTACTAGTCCATCCACCACAGCCCATGAGGTTTGTGCTTCCTCTGAGTGCTTATCTATCTATCTTACCATCTCTAGCTTATCGTATTTTTCAGTTTGTTCACAGCTGCAACTTCTAGCTATATAAGACATGGTATTAAAAT